GTCTACTGTTGACATCAGCAGTACCAGTTTGTTTTTCTTTGCCATGTATGAGGCCAGCATAAATCTTTCTCAAATCCAAAAACTGTACTACACAATTCTCTGTTTTAAAATTGCAACATTTCATTTGGAATTTCTGCTTTGTTCCTTTATACAGTTTCTGCACTGCTCAACTTGGGTTCTGTGAGCAAATGCAAGATCAACTGCCAATTGATAAACCAACTGTCACATGTCATATTCCAATCAGTTTGGTAGATGAGAGCAATGAATCTGTTCAAAACATCATTCAGTTTATTACTATACAAATAAAGACCTGATGGTTGAATTCTAGGATAAATGTATAAATTGAAAGCACAATAAGTTTTTGCCTCTATAATGGCCATATTTTGACCCATTGCTTTTCCATAAGTCTCTTACATTCTTGCAATCACCATGAGAAATGCCTGCTAAGTACAGTAGACCAAACAATGCATTCAGTTCAGCTAGTGAGGTGTCATAATACATTTTTTAATATGGCTACTGGTGCACATGGAACATTTCACTTGCATTTCAGTCTTTGTGGATTTCAAAGCATCATGCAGTATTTTGTCTGTGACAATTTCCAACAACAAATGGCAATGCTGGCATTTTTGCCAATACCTTTCACCACTGCCAAGACTCTCACTTTATTTCTCAGACCTAGTTCTAATATTGAATCATTCCACTTAGTTGCATAGCTATTTTGCAACATTTCAACTAGTCAAATATATACTCACATCATTGTTTTCTTCATCTGAATAAAAGAGGTCCATATTCCCTGTGTCTGTATCATCAGACTCTTGCTCCATTTCACTATCACAGGAACTTTGCCTCAGGTGACTTTTACTATGTCAAAGTCATAGGTGGTGTCATCATCATACAGCCACACCACTCTTTTGTTATGGAATTATGTATTCTACTAAATGGATCATCATCATCTTCCATGTATGAGTAATCTGGTGATTCATTTTTTTACCTCTTCTAAAACTTGCAAGTCTGATTTTTCATGTGCCACTGTACTGAAATGGACTACCTCTACCAAGAAAATCACAAGAAAACTTTAACTGATCCCCGAATGGCATGGGCTTATTGGACCCTCTGTGATGCTCAGTTAAACATACATGGAACAAAGTTATGCACATTATAAGCTAGGTTAAAAAAAGTCCTATTTTGCCACTTTTGCACATATGCATACAACTTGTTGTACAGCATACCAAATGGATGAACACATAGATTGCTTCCTGTATCCTTCAGGTAAAGGTACTGAGGTGCATACCCAACTACTATTATACTAAAGTACAAATTTACAGTAGAAAAGTAAAGGATGGGACCACTGGACCCAGTCTTACTAACATTCATGAAATTATCTCTAAGTGATCTGAGGTCTGTCTAGGGCTTACTTCCTTACAATACAGGGAATCTGGAAAAGACTAAGGTTCCTTCCCAACCTCTAAATTAATATATTTTAAGAAACTATTCATTAAACCATTATCACACATCAAGAACCATTCTAATGAGGTTCGGGTAACTCAGTGCATATAGCATGTGCTTAACATCCATGAAGACATGGATTCAATCCCAGCACCAAAACAAAACTAATTTTTTTTAAAAATCATACTAATGGCTTTACTAATAAAAGTAAACTTGGAAAAAGGAATCAAGAATTAATAACTGCTATCAAACATTCTTCTTTTAAACATAGGAAGACATGAAGCACAGTTTAATTTATATTGCCTTAAAAATGAAAAGGCCTTCTTTCTCCAACCCAGATGCCAAGAGTGACAAAATCAGGCACAAAGCCGTATGTATATTCATGTACAAATTTATCAGAAAAAGGCAGGAAATACAAAGAAAAACAGGCAAAAGACCTAAAGCAAGAATTCAAAATAAACATATGAAAACTACTGAGTCCCATTTGCAATCAAGGAAAAATATAATAAGCTACCTAAGAGAACCCACTGTACACATTTGCCAAGCTAGAAATACTAAAATCCATGATAATACCATATGCTGCAGGGGCTATGGAGTTGCTTTGATGGTTAAGAATATTTTTGGTGTACACTCTATGAAAATAGTTTGACACTGCCCAGTAAGAAGCACGTGCTTAGGGACCAGGGATTTAGCTCAGTGGCATAAGCACCTGCCTGGCAAGCGCAAAGTGGTGAGTTCAATCCCCGGTACCAAAAAAAAAAAGAACAGTACATGCTTTAATGAAGCAGAAATTTCATTCCAAAAGAACTAACATGCCTATATGTATACATACAAAAAGTGCTCATCACAGCACTTTATATAATAGTGTAAGCCTGTACATAACCCCAAGTTTAACAGGAGAATGAATAAATTGAGGAACCGATAAATACACAATATTTTAAAACAACCTGAATAAATTGTAACTACATACAGTATTACTGACTCTTATAAACAAAATACTGACTGAATAAAAGCAAAACATAAAATAACATAATGGTGTCATATCATTCATTACAGAGGAAATCAAATCACATTGTTTAGAGATACATGCAGAGACAGTAAAGCTACTCTTTAGACAGAGACAATGAGGGCTGGGAAGAGGATACTGTCCTGACTACTATGACTACTCTTGTTACTATTATGAAAGCCATTACATTAATTTCTACTCTGTGGACTATTTATGCCCCCTGGAAATACCAATGAAAGAGAACATTTTAAAAATGGTTAGGTGTGAAGTTGCTCTATTTGTGGTATTTTTCCTCTAGTTTTCTCATTGTGGTATCTTTATATTTCTTTCTCATATATTCTGCAACATTTTGATTGCAAAACTTTGATAGGAACTAAAGCTTTACCCTCTACATGATTTTTCTCTTAGCAAGGACCTCACTGTTCACAGAGGGAGTCTTGAATCTCTGCAGATTGAGAAGAGTAACATATTTTCACAGTGGGTAATATAAGGAAATTATTTGCATGCAAAGCTACAGAAGACAAATCACTACTATATTAAGAGAAAATTTCTTCTATTATTTAAGAGAGAAAATGTGATGATTTACAAGTGGATAAGCTTCATAGTCAAGTCAATAATAAGGCATTATTATAAACTAGTTAGAAATTTCCAATTTTTAGAAACAAAACAGCTAGTCATTTAAAAATTATTTTGTAATCAAATGTAAGTTGTGGTATGTCACTGGCAGTTTTTTACTGATGCACATTAAAGAGAAAGTTACCAGCAGAGAATTAAAGCTAGTCAAATCATCAGGTTGTAAAACAAATCTAATCACATCTTTTTTAAAATATTAAAATATTTAACAACTAAATTTAATTTGGGGAAAAGTAAGAATTTAATCCAATAAGCTGTCACTATAATACTGATAAATAGTGACATTCAAAGACTTTAACTGCAAAGTATCTTTAAAAATATTTCAAAGAATTCCACAAAGTAGAACATTTTTGTAGTCTTAATATTTAATCTTACATAGTAAGATACAATGGTTTATTAATCTTTCTGCATGACTTTGGAATCAACACCAATTAGAAATTATGAAATGAAAAAAATGATTAACAAATTGCATGCACTTAGACTAAACATTACTAGAAACTTAAGAGAAATACAGTAACACAAGGTAAGAAATAATTAAGCAAGTATATATAAACATCAGAATTTAAGGAAAGAAGAAAATATATGTAGTTGGAATATCTACAGGGGTTTTATGGAAAAAGTCAAGCCAATTTTTAGATAAGAGATGGGGAAAAAAATGAATATTCTTGGCCACAGAAATGAATGAATATGGAAAACATAGCTGGGTGACAGTGAACAAGTCTAAATGGTGTGAGGAATGAGGGATGAAGGTTAGGAAGCAGAGGGGCACGCACGGTAAGGGATGGTTTTGACTTGCTATCCTGAAGATGGGAGAGTCCTAGGATACTTAAGTGTGTCTTCAGTGTTGGAAATTAATTAATTCTTTAAGGATAAAAATCATTCCAATTAATGATGGAAAGAACACGTATATGCAATATGTACTTCTGCTATGTACTGTAAATGGATGTACTTTATAATATATAATTGATGCCTTGACAAAGTTGACTTTAGATATTTCAAAAATCAAAACCAAGAATGCTAACTTTATTGATGAAAAATATTTTTTCTCTTGGTTTTTTGAGACAGCGTCTCACTATATAGTCTAAGTTGGCCTTGAACTTGCAGCAATCCTCCCACCTCAGCCTCCCAAATGCTGGGACTACAGGCATATGGCACATGCCCAACTTGATAATTCTTTGACATGCTTCCACGCTTGTATAATTAAATATATTCAAAACCAACCTATCATAATTACATAACTTGTCCTTTTACAAAATGTATGATGTTCTCCTTACTTCTGGTTTGCCTATCAGACGTATTCTGAATATTACTGCCAAAATAACCTCCTCCCACTAAAAAACTCTTTTGAAAAGTCAAGTGTTGTCCATAGCCTTTCTTTCCAAAAATGACTAGACATCTACAATTTGAGTTTAATCTGCCATTCTGTCCTTATTTTTTACTGCTCATACTCAAATATTTTTCTTCGAAATCATTTCAAAACGTATTTTCCTCTCAATTTCATTACCTGGTTTCAGGCTGTTTCCTCAAACCAATACATTCCTGCCTTCTATCTTAATCCTACCTACATTCAAGACCTAGCTCGATGTTATAAAGCATGTGGTCTCTTCTGAGATTCTTCAGGTGCAACTTCTTCATTCTCTAAACTTTCACTGAAAACTGATTGTGCATGAATGCTATAACACTATCCTTACGTCATTCAAAAGAAGTTAACCGCCCTGAGAAACTCAATCTACACCCATACATTTATAACTCAATACAACCCATATAGGACAAGCTGGATGGACATGCTTAATACACAGCAGTAACTCAACATTTGCTGAAAGGACGATCATTTGCAAATCCTAAATATCCAGGTCATTAATATGAGTATAAAAATAAGATGGTAATCTTAATACATTTTTAAAAGGAATCCTACCTTTTCAGTTGTAAGTGGTTTTGTAAGCTTTTCTGGCTCCTTTTCTCTCTTTTTCTCTTCCTTTTTCTTCTCCTTTTCTTTCTAAAAAGCAGTCCAAAGTTGTAGTGAGTTTACTTTTAAAATATGACAATTTTTTTTTTAATTGAACCCAGGGCCCACACACTGAGCTATTTTGAGACAGAATCTTACAAAATCTCTAAATTGCTCCAGCAGGGTTTCAACTTCTAATCTCCCTGTCTCAGCCTCCCAGAGTGCTGGGATTTATAGGTGTATACCACCGCACCTTTAATTAGTTTCTATTTTTTTAGTTTGAATCATTTGAAAAAGGTGTAAATATTCCATATTTATGATGCTACTGAAATATAAACAAAAACACAGCAAATTTATATTCTCAGTTTACATATTCATGCGCAAAGTTACATGTTGATGACAGAATACAGACTCTTTCAAAAATTAAGAAGTAAGACAACTTAGAATTTCTTTCGTATTTTAAGGTTTGTGTTTAAGCAAATGAGAACTCCACTCAATAAATTCTCATTACATCCTTATATAAGTTATGCTTCTTTATAGCAACCATAATGTTAATTCTGAATCAGAAGAAAAATCAAACTGATACAACATACTTCCTCATCACATGGGTGAAAACAAATTATAACAGATTAAAAAAACACACTAATTTTCTTTTTTAAAAAGTCACAAAATATATATTCAGACCACTGCAAGTTTTAAAGAAAGAAAATATAAATTTCCAAAGAAAAAGATACTAAAGACAATGCATGGAGATTAGAATCAACTGACTAGTCTTAGACAGTTAAAGTAAAATGATGTGATGTTCACATTTTGCATTTCTAGGGATGAGACAGGATGTAATACTAAAAGCTCAAACCTAAAAGGTCACAGAAGGTGAAAAGTGAAAAGAAGTGTCCAAAGAGGAAAAGTAAGAAAAGATTACAAAGAGCATTTCACGGCATTTAGAGGGAAGAGATGACTAGAAACCTAGAATTGGGATGGCAATGCAATGGGCACTAACCTAGCTCTTAGATTTTTGCAAAACATATGAGAAGATAAACAGACAAACCTAGGAAAGACAGCATGATAAACACATGGAACTTAAGTCAAAATACCAAAACCCTGAATCTCACCTCAGCCTTTAAAATGATATTTGAGCTTTGCACAGTTGTAGTACTGTAGCCAATGAGTTTTATCTGAAGCATGAGTATTGCTAATTCGTACAGTGAAAAGAAAGGCCTGTGCCAGTATTGTTTGGACAATATTTCATGCCTATACCTTGTACTCTGAGTAACTACAATGGAGACAACAATATGCAATGTATTAATTATTATTACTGCCCTACTAGCCTGTTTTGAAACTCTATTTTATTGTTATTGTTACTTTTCTTCTCTTTAGGGACAATAATATAAAATGGTATTTGAAGACTGGTGCAGGCACTATAGAAATCACTATGGTGATTTCTCAGAAGACTAGCATTGGAAGTTCCATTCAACCCAGCTATTCCCCTCCTTGGTATTTTCCAACTGAAAGGGTCATGTCACAGCGATATATGTGCACCTATGTTCACAGCAGCACAATCTGTAACAGCTAAATCTTGGAAACAACCAAAATGCCCATCAACTGCAGAGCAGATGAAAAAGATGTGGTATTTTTATACAATGGAATATTACTCAGCTATAAAAAGGATGATCTTGAGGCCTGCATAGGCAAATAGGCTACTTCATAAGTGAAATAAGAATCATATTTATAAATATCACACTGTGTGTCTGGTGTAAAAACTAGTAAGAACTGTAGTAGTAAAACCCAAAATGTGTAACTGCTTTTATAAAAAGAGAGGAAAACAAAGTGCTCTAAAGGATATAACTGCATGTATGTTTAAGTGTGTAAGATAGATGACCATATTACTAAGTTTTTGTTGGATCATTGAGCACAACTGTTTGCAGTCTCACTGTTTGAATGTCCACTTTGTATGCTTTAATTTTGTAACTTGAACAACTATTTCTAAGATGATAGTATGTAATTTATCAAGTAGTGATTTATCAACTAGTGATTTCTTAGTGTTTATTTTTTTGGAATTCTGTATTGTTGCTACCCTTTTATCTGTTTTGTTTTTTTCTCTTTAAATAAAATTTTTTAAAAATGCTATTTGATACAACCTCTGTCGGACTGTATTTGCCATATGTAAATCAGGAAAGATAATATTTGCAATTCTAAGGCTTTAAAGTTGAGAGAAATACTAAAAGTTCTAAGGCTTTGCAATTATTTATGTAAAGACCAAAATCAGGCAACACTACATTGTTTTGGGATACGTATGATATATAGAACTATGAAGAAAAGAAAAGTGATAAAAACAATGTTGGCCACAGTCAAGGACGGGGGTTTCAACTATAAAAAAAAGGGCAACATGACAGCCTTGAAATGCTAACAATTTCACTTTATGTAATGAAAACAGTGACAGTTTTGTGAGTAACCCTTAAATTAGGTACATATTTAATATGCATTTCAGTATTTAAAAGAAAAAGGGCATTAAAAATTTCAAAAACAAACTGTAAAGCACTACACAAATATAACAAAGTAAAATTTTTGAATCTTCTGTATGATATTAAAAAGGGGAAGGAAAAAAAAAAACCTTAGTGTTGGCCCCAAACTTTAAAAGAAAGTCATAGCAAAGAGCTTTCAGGAGAATAAGCAGTATCTTCCACTGCAAGGTCAAGAACAGCAGAAAAAAATCTAAAGCACTTCAATTAATGTTTACTTTATGATTAAAAAGCATTGAAGTGTAGCAATTCACACATCAGTGAGAACATCTGTACTGAGCTATACTCAGACAATGTAGGTGCATGGCTTTGTAGCAAAAGGAGAAAGTAATGGGTGGAAGTACTACAATTAGGATAAAAAGACAGCTTATATATAAGGCTCTTTAGACTGAACTAAGATTCTCTAAAAACATCTGTTTCAGTACTGCTTTTTAGGAACAAAATAAAAAGTTAACAGATAGTTGAACTTTTGAATATCTAAAGTGTTAAAACCTAAAGAGCAATCTACCAGATGACTGTATTTCAAAACTGACATTCTGCCATGAACTTTAAGATGCTAACACAGTCTAGCACAGACCAAAGACCTCCTAGAAAGCTGTGTGTCTTTCTCAAAAATACATTTTTTCTATCTGCTCAAGTGCCTGGATGAAACTGGAATAAGAAAGATGTGTGCCTAAAGGATAACTAGAAACATTACTGATAGGTGAGTCAATCACGCCCAAATTAAACCTTCCTTTCTAAAACACAACTATGGTACCACTTACTAAGTGCTTCCTCGCTGTTGTTTAATCTTTTCAAAAGCTGTCTGAAATAACTACTGATTTTATTGTCTTCTCACAAACAACCAACCAAACAAACAAAACCTTAGGCAAGTGACGCACACAGCAGCACAGGTAATCAGTTTCCCTGCTGGCTGAGTATTGCTGCCGCCAGGTCCACGTGGTGCCTCACCACTACTTACTATTTATTTACTGAACTCTCACAATGTGCCAGGGACTGCTTGACTCCTTCAGTCCTTGTAGCACCTTTACAAGGTGATAAATTCTATCCCTAACTTTGTATAAATGAAGAATAAACAAAATGTACAAAAATGCTTTATACATGATAAACATTTTTTTAGATTAGTAAAGTTTCTTGAGAAAAACAACACAATAGAATATTCTCACTAGTATGCTGGGGATAAGTGGCCCCATACCCTCCCTAAGCTATTAATGCTATGGTTGGAATGTCTGTGCCTAAAATTCTTACATTGAAACAAAACATCTGATGTGATGATTTCAGGAGGCAGGGAGGGTCTTTGGAAGGTGACTAAATCTGGAGGGTGGAGTCTTTACATAACAGGCCCCAGAGAGTTCCCTTGCCTATTGCCACCATGTAAGATCACAGTACAAAGGGGTCCTTCTTGAATAAGCAGGTATTTGCAAGACACAGACTGTGGGGAGCCCTGACTTTGAACTGTCTACCTGCCAGAACCATGAGAAATAAATTTCTGTTGTTTTTAAGCTACTCAGTCTACAGAAATCTATTAAAGTAGCCTGCACAGTTATTTTTCATGAATGCCATTCTCACAAAAGAAGTCAGACTCCCAAACCTCTGGGTTTAGTGTGCACACATGAAATCACCAAAAATAAACCAAATTTGCTAGCATCATTAAATAGAGAACATCCTGTGATGCTCTTTCACACTGAAATTTCAGCTTTTGTCTGCTCAGATTCCAGATGTGAAACTGTGATACAGGATCTGCAGTAACATTAATAGCATGAGCTCTGAATTCAGATCAGTTTGAGCCACAAATGTTTCCCATCTATAGAATCAAAGGCTGCTAAAAGATCAAAGAGGATAACAGAACCAAGTTTATTTTTTCAGCTACATAAAACAGTAGTTCCAGAAAGTTGATTACTATTGCAACTGATACAGCAGTACTTGGATTCAAGAACTTAATTTATTTCATGATTTGGGGGAAGATGGCCATGTTTGTGTTTGTGTGAGAAAATGACAAAAGTTGTATTTGTTACCCAAACAGAAGCAAAATTTTGTCAAAAGCTATTGTTTGGCAAGTGAATTGTCTGTGAACAGAAGTGTTTGTGAACCCCGGTATTACTGTACGGTGGAATGGCAGAAATCCTGTTGAAGAAATCATACACATTCAACCCTGCTACAACAGAGAAAAAGGCTGGCTCTGGTGGCATAAGCCTATAATCCTCAATGAGACTGAGGCAGGAAGGCTGTAAATTCAGGGCTAATGCAGACAATTTAGCAAGAACTACTTCAACATATAGTAAAAGATAAAAAGAGAATGGGATGCAGTTCGGTTCAAAGGCCCTGGGTCCAATCCGTAGTACTTTGTGGGTGGTGCATGTGCTTGTATGTGTGCGTGTGTGTATATTAAACTTTACATATTGGAATCATTATAATCCAACTATACTTGAGTGACTTAAGTCATCAAAATGTTTTGGTTAAGTATGATCTAGAAAAGTTGTGAATATATATATATATATATATATACACACACACACACATTCTATCATACACATACATACTTATAAGTATACATACACACTGTATAACACTACAACATTATAAATCACACACAGAAATAGAGCTGTCAAAAGCATAAGAGCTAAGAAGCAGCAATCAACCTTCTGCATGGACTGCTGGGAGGCTGCCAAATCAGATCACTTCCTTCTGAGACTTAAGGCAAGAATTTCACAACACAACTGTGTAACGATCTATTTCCATCCTCTTTCCCTGCAGAGAAATAGCTCCAGGACAAATTCTGAAGCAATAACTTGCCTTTGGCATCTTCCCATTCTTTCCAGGCAATACCCCTACTCACTTACTTCTTCCATGAGCCTGTCTGTAAGCCACCCACAACACTAAGTCAACAACCTAGTGGACCTGTCCATTTCCAACCAAGCAGTTCATATCAACACTTTCCTTCGCAGTCGCCTTGTGACCCCATCTTGATCTTTAATAATGTACAGGTTCCTGTGTTCCCACCTTCTATCCCGGTGATGTTCCCTCTTGTCACTGATCCCACTGGTCAGGTCAGGGTCTCACCCTCTCCATGCTTCCCTGGGCTGTAGACATGCACATGCAATTACCTACTAAACACTGGCAGCTCTACAGCTGTCCACCTTTAACTCATCTTCCTTTTTGCTCTTTACATCTGTTTCTTCTTTTAACTCACTAAATGGTACCTTCTATGCAGATGCTTGAGCCAGAAACTGGGAGTCACAGTCCACAAAATCTTTCTGTAACTTCTGATTACTATATTCTACACATTTCACCTTAAAATCTCTCAAAACGAAACTCCCTTTCGTTCTCTCAGTTCACCATTTTAGCACCTGCCCCGCCCCTTTATTCTTGGATGACAACTGGTTTTCAAACCTTTGTTGGACCAATACCACAAAATTCATTCCCCATGGAGCCAGCAGAGGAGTGGTATGTTAGGAAAACTCGATCCTATCATACTGCTTTCCCTCAAAACTCATTACTAAAGTGCTTGGGCTTTTGGTATGAAGACCAGCTCCGCCCTAGACTCTCAAACTGGCACTCAGCAGCCAGATGTAGGGATGTACACCTATAATACCAGCACTCTAGGAAGCTGAGGCAGGAAGATCTCAAGTTCCAGCCCAGCCTGGCCCAGCCCATCCCAGGTAACCTAATGACTTACTAAAAGAAACTGTCTCAAAAGGGTTAGAAATGTAGCTCAGTAGAAAGACCCTGGGTCCAACCCTAGCACCAAACAATAAATACACACTTTTAAAAAAGAAGATTCTCCCCCTTTATTCTTATCTCACTTCTGTTTCAGCCATGCCTATTAAACTTACAATTTCTACTTCCCCTACTTGGAATGCCTCCCAATCTTTAATGGTTATTCCAAGTACAAAATGTATCAAATGTATGGCACCTGTATTAACAGGAGCATAATAAGTGGTTTTCAATCACACATGATGTTGTATTCTAAACTGCCACACAGTTATCTTTTTTCCTCTTTAAACTTACAAACTCAGACCAGGCATGGTGTTGCACACCTGTAATCCTAGCACTCTGAGAGGCTAAGGTATGAGGGTGACAAGTCAAGTTCAGGCTAGGCAATTCAGCAACTTGGAAAGACTGTCTAAAATAAAAAAATAAATAAATAAAAGGCATGGAAATATAGGTTAGTGCAAAGGGCCTGGGTTCAATCCTTAGTCCTGCACAAGATAAACTAGTAACTGAGAGCACAGGCTATCTCTTATTTGTTTTTATATCCCTCATGTAGCACACCATTTATCAAGGAGTAGACACAGGAAAAATGAGAGCTAAAAGAACACCTCAAATTAACTCATTAAGCTCAAATAAATAAATAAGAAAAGTAAAGAGACAAAGTATTTTTTAATCAAAAACTTTCCTAACAGATCAAAGAATTCCACAGCAAACTATGACAAAGATCCTATAAGATAGCAACAGTCACAGCATCAAAAAACTAATTGCGTAACTGTTGACATGTATTTATGGCCCAATAAATCAAAATTTTGGAAATTAAATATAGGTCAAAGTGCTTTAATTACATCCAAGGGAAACATTCAGGACATTCTTGTATTTAATACTGGGGATCATTCAAAATATTATAGCACTTGCAAATTATAGCACATAGCAAAAGGAAGCTCATTTATCACTCAACACCACACAATGCAGACAGTTAAAACACTACCATACCTCCAATTTGTTTTTCTCAACAGCAGCTTGCAGAGAAGGAGAAGATACTAGAGGCTGAAGAGGAACATCAGAGGAGGAAATCTACAGAGTATGGATAAAGACAGAAGAAACAAAAGATAGATGATAAGAACTGACTGGCATGAGAAAGAAGTAAAGATATTTCTTAAATACTACAGCATTTAAAAGCATATTAACAAGGTAAATAATTGAAAAGGAAATACTATTTTTTTTAAATTTCCATGTGAAATTTCTTAAAGGATTCAGTAGGGAACAGTGATTATTTTATAAAATTTAAAATGTACCCAAATAAGATCATGCAAAAAGAATCTGAAAAATAGCTGTACTTCGCTGACAGTTTATTATAGTCAATGTATTACTGAAATGCTAACATTCTGAAGTATAAGACAAACTGTCCCAAGTAGCAGAACAAAAACTATTTTTTGTTTTTACTGATAACTTTTAAGAATGAATAATAAAATAGCTGAAATAGTAAGAAGTTAATCAAAATTTTAATCAATTTAAGAAAATAGAAAAAAGGCTAGAAGAGTGGATTCATATACAGCTGAACAGCAGGTAGACTTATTATAAAGCAATTTATGTATTTACTTGAGATTTGCCTGCAAACATCAGTCCCAATGATGTACTTGCTGAATTACCCCACAGTATTATGAGAGTTACATATGCAGCAGAGGCACAAAAACAGATTTCGTCTGAGAGCTTTTTTTACACATCGTCCTACCTGGTTTCTACATGTATAGCTGATCACTTTAATGGAAGCATTATCTTCCTGCTCTCTTTACTGCCAAAATATAACTGAAATATATTTACAAAATGCATAGGAATCTTTGGAGCCATAAAACAGACATCTCTACATTGTTCTATCCTATGCCTGTAAGGACTTCTTTTAAGGATCCTTCTTCAAATCTATTCTTTACACTTCATCACTGGATAGGCAAAGGATTACAAATAGGTCATTATGTAACATTAGAACAACACTGCAAGATGGCAGGTCCTCCTTCAATTTGTTTATCTTATTAAGTTAGTTATGACAGTAATTCTTCACTCTCAATCCAAGGTTAAAACATAAGAGGTTTTTTTTCTTTACATAATTTTGACTGTTATAATTCTGTAAATTAGTATTTCATTAATCCTAAAGCAAATATATGAAACACACAGTATGAGGAATTATCTTCAACTTAAAAAGGTCAAAACCATGTCTTCAAACCTGGTTTTAAGCCTGGTCTGTACTGCATGTTTACTTGCTAGAGATCTTTAATTACATGTTCACATGGAAAACAAGACTGAAAAGCCATAAAATCAATTTAAATAACTTATATCATACAATCTCTTTGCTTAAACTCATGTAAAAGATAACATAAAAATAATTATGCAAAGGGAATAGATGCAGTTAGAATGTCAAGGATTACTAATCCTTAGACACTGGCATGACAATTCACAAAAGTGCTTATTCTTTTTTCTTTTTTTAAGATTATAAACTGACTTGGTCACTTTTAAAACCCAGCATAAATTTTTATTCAGTAAATACCTAAAATGTAACCAATAAAAGTGGGGGGGAAGCTTTACTATCATGTTCCAGGTGGGAAGGAAAACAAGAATCCTGCCCAGTAGCAAAGGCAAGGGGAGACCAACAAATGGGGGTACCCATACAGTAAAACACTGTGGGTCAATCAAAAATAGCAATTAAGGGTACACAGAAAGCAGAGGGGAAATTCGGAAACATGCTGAAAGAAACACAGGAGAACACACAGTGTATAGTGCTGATCATACGGAACTCCAGAAAACATAATGTGCCACAACAAAAAGCAAATTAGTGCTTATCTGGGCTGCTGGTAGACACGGGAGAGCCTCACGGGGAGATGGAAAGGTTCTGTCTTGATTATGGAGGCAGTGGTTACACAGAGGTATGCATCTGTCATAACTCATTTAACCAGACCTTTTACTGTTGATATTCAATAAAGTCAATTTTTAAGGTCAGTGGTGATAAAGTGCATTATGTGAGCAAGGAATTAAGAAACAGAAGTAAACACTGATAAATGGAAACAATATTATAGAACATGAAAGCAGACAATGACAGAATAAAGAACCTAAAGCAAAAAGAAAAGAAAGAAAACACAGAGGCAAGAAAAACTAGCATCTTGATTTTTCTTTCTAAATCTCCCAAAACCATCTATTTCTTACCATCTTCACTTACATCTTAGTAAATAATCAATATTCCTCTGCTGGATTAGCCCTCTAACGGTTGTCCATGCCCCAAGCCTCATTCTTTTTCAAAACTATTCTCTACACTTCATCACTGGATATGCAAATTTGACCATAAGTCCTTGCTGAGAAGTCTTAAACAGATTACATGCATTATATAAGGGCAAGGTCCAAACCACCTTAGCCTGGCCACAACTCCCTCATCTCCCTATTCACCTGCCTCTAGCCACACACACAAACCCTTCACGGTTCGGGCCCTCACTTCTCCTGGCTCCACAGTCCTTTGCTCTTGCTGTTCTCACCACCTGAAGTATTCACACTTCCTTACAGTCTCTGCCCATCCTTTAATGCTGAGGTGACAAGGCCTCCTTCAGGAAGGAAGCTAAACCTTTATATAACAACGTTTAAAATCCGTAAGTTAGGAAGAAATATGTGGAATTTTAGAAAACTTTCACATGTGAAATCCTGGAAATTCACCTTGCAGACCAATATTAGCAGGCTCTCTACAGCATGGAGAAATTAATGAAATAACTGAAGCCAATGCTGTAAACTCTTACAGCTAAAGTTTGAGCACTCACTTTTCTTATTTACATACTTTTTGTAGCCTTTGCTGTTATGGTTCTTCATTAATTATCACATATAGTTAAATGCTAAGCACCCTAAGCATACTACGTATCTTTTATAATAGAATTGTGCTAAGGTAAATGCAGATACTAATACTCACCCTGATCTTATAGAAAAGGAAACTAAAATTGGAATGACAAGATGTATCAAAACTACCAATCAAAAGATATTCATTTATACTATTTAATAAAAATTAGAAACAGGTAGTTCTACCACCTATGGAGAAAAAGGATGACAGTAAGAGTAAGGAGGAGAGAGACAAAAAGTGGTGGAGGAAAAGAGCAAATATTATGGCAGTTCATTCTCATGACCTGAATCACTCAGGACCTGTCAGACCTACGAATCACTCATCACGGTGAACTCACTCACCTAGTACATCTAGGAACTCACTCACTCATCAGTGAACCACTACTGGTTAAGGGGAGAAAGGACAGAAAAGATAGATTTCTGCAGAGCATTTCAAATTTTTTCCTTACTCACTGAGTTAAGAAATGGTCTAGGAGGGTAGGTTGACTGCATCAATGTGAAAGGTAGAATTCTACAATACCCAAATTGCTCCCTCTGGTGCACTTCTAGTGTAACATCCTCCCCTTGACAACAAGCTACTCAAGACAGTGAAGTCGATCATATTCACTGTGTTGGGTAGCTTGTTGTATCACAAAGGTGAAGAAAATGCGCAGGAGTAATTAAGATCCAAATCAGTTCAGGATGAATTAATCAAAAATAAAAAATTACCCTACATGGATCTGGCCTAATCAGGTCAGGATGGCACTTAAAAGTAGCCAGCTCGTCCTAAGATAAGAGACTTGAAGTAAGAGAGTAAATCTTACTTTTCTCTCTTCAATCACATCTTCTAGTAGCCTGAAACAAGTGACCTACCATGCAATGACAGGAGGAGGTTATCTGCCACGGACATGAAAGTGGCCCTGAGAAATTAAAAGCAGGCCTATAAATTCTGACAAGAAATGTAAGCCTGGAAACATCCGATGAGATCAGAGCCCTGACCAACTCTGAGTTCAGTCTACTGAGACACTAACAAGGCAGCCAACCTATGCTCAGACTCCTGGCCTACAGAATCTATAAATTAGTAAATCTACTTTAGGCCATTAAAGTTCTAGAAATTTGTGAAATGGCAACTAAAATACAATTATCACTCACTGAATCAAAACTGCAAAACTGCACATCTGGCACTCAAGTCTTCCACACAATTCTACGTGCCTTTTGAGACTCACCTCTCATGTAGTTGCTCTGTCCTCCTCTACTCACCTGAAGCCCCTTCACATACCTAGGATAGGGCAGGCTTGTAGACTACTCACCAAACCAACACCGGGTAACACAGCCAGAGCCTCTTTCCTTATCTCACCTTGGCACAGATAGATGGAGAAAGCTGCCTTGCAGCATGAAATGTGTTGCCTGTTTTCTGAATATTTCTTTCTTATATAGCAGCTCATTTCCTCTTCACTGCAATTCTCCTTTCCTATCAAGGATAATCTCAAATACAACTCCTTTGAGTATTATTCTAATGAAAATTAATGAATGCTACCTAAATTCTGTGCTTCCAGAACACTTTTATTCTTCCATTATACCAATTAACACATTCTACTTTAGGATATAGCTCATTGTGCATGTACATTTTCTACTGAAAATGTCTCAGAGTAAGCTATTTACTATGTCCACCTCAGCACCCCATGTGTGATACATGTACTCAATGTCTATTGCATGACTAAATGACAAACAAAGGGGCAATTTGAGGGTACTTCAGAGCAACTAATTTCTGTCATCCTATATCTAACTCCAAAAAGGGGCACAATTCTCAAGAAGGAGTAAAGGGCATATTGAAGGGTATTACAAATGAACTCAAAGTTCCATGTTGGTAGAGACATACACATGCGCGTGCACGCGCACACACACACACACACACTCTGCTTAGAAGCTACAATCCAGCAAAAAACTTTTTCTACTATGAAAGCTTTTCTCCTTAGAACATAATTTACTTTGTTTTTGTCTTATCTGAATTTTGTTTTTCTGCTTTAAACTTCTTGCCTTAATTCATGCTTCTGGAGCCATATAAAACTCCTCACCAAAGGGGACATACACTCCTTCCAGCAATGCAGCACAGAGAAGCCTCTCTGCTTTCTCAGAAGGACCACATTTACATGACCAGACACCATATTTATTAAGAGCCCATTGAATGCTCCTCACCATAACAAATAAATCCCTAGAAATGAAGGAGTTTCCATCCTAGTTCCTCTCACATACTACAAGACGGATTATAATGAGGTTTGGTTTACAGACAAATTAAATGGCCTGCAAGAAAGCAAGGAAAAAATTGAGAAAATAGCAAAACTCTTTGCCATTATTCTGTTGTAGTTTACTGCTCTGTATCTTTTGAAACGTTTACATCACAGATGGACAAGAAATATATTGGTGTTTTGTGTTAAAGGGTTTAAAAAAAAAAAACTGCCTTGCACAGAGAAACAGGGTCATCTTTAAATCCTCACTTCAATACTTAAGAAAACAAACCAATAGCAGAAACACATCCTGGCAGTACTAAAAAAGCTATGTGAAAGAAAAAGAAACAAGTTATAAAAGCAAAACAAAAAACTCTAAATTTGGAGCTATGTAATATGGGAATAAGTCACACAAAGCTTAATAGCAGCCATGTCAGCTTTTTATCTGAGCACAAACAATACAAGTAGTGTTCAAACTGTCCCTCCTTAGATATCTGCTATGTACCCTTGTTACTCTTAAATATCTCAGATGCAAAGAACTCACATTTTGTCTCATATTATGGTTATTTTTTGTAAGTACACATCTGCCACATGCAGTGATCACATTCATCAGACAGAATTTGTACCTATACATAACATGTCTTAATTCTTCTCTTGTTATTATAGCTGGCCTTATAGCTATTTTAATACCTAGTCTAAGCTCTGGTAGAGCTCTCTGAAAATACACATCATGTCTTCTTTTAGTGTCCCAAGAGACTATGAGCATAGATTAAATGCAACTTTTGTGAATTTTTCTGAAATTTCATTTCAAAAGCTCAGGAGTAATATAAAATTTTACTCTCAAGCCTACAAAAATGGGGAAAAATTTAGAATATTAGTACATCTATATAAGACAATATTCATCAAACCAAAATTATTTCCTTCTATATACACACACGCATACACATCTCAAAACTGTTACTCAACTGTCAGACAAATGAGTTATAAATAGGTGTGATCAAGAAATATGGTGAATGAGGAAGTTTTAAAAATTATTGCAGTAAAAACACACTGCCATTCCTCCAGAACACACCCCTCACTTTGCACACACTTATCCCATTGTTCGTGCCTCTCTCTGAGGCAGTTCTGAAGTGCCCCCTCACGAGTACCGTTAGTTGTGCTGTCATGGATGCGTTGGTGTCCTGAACCAATGCAACACATTTACTCTTTGTGATCAAGCTGACTTTTGGGAACAGCCACAAGCTGCACAATGCCAGATCCGGGGAGTGAGGTGAATGAGGACGTACCATAATGTATTACGAGCTACTCTGCTGTTGGATGGCACTTGGTAGGAGCATTCACCACATTCCTTATATCATACTTTGTAAAAGCACTTCAAAGAAGACCTCCAGAACTGCTTCAGAAAGCAGCATAAAAGTGTTTGAAATAAGAGGGCGTATTCTGGGGGGGGGGGATTAAATGGTAATGTGTCTTTAATAACAAGCTTGACTGACCATGTGTTTTTTTTTCTTTTTTCTCTTGGTACTGGAAATTGAACTCCAGACCTTGTGCTTGCCAGGCTCACACTTATGCCACTGAGCTATATCCCCAGCTCACCATGTATTTTGATCACACAGCAGCATGACACTTAATACCTAACTACTGTATTCTGTTACACATGTTCTATGAATGAAGAAATTTCCCTAACAGACCAAACCATTATCACACCCAAGAGGTGGAAACAACCAACTGTATCACAACTATCATTCAAAGGAAAAAAATCTTCCTACACATTACCACATTAATTTCCAGGGAGCTGCCAATGACACCAAAAACTATGGAAATACAACTTTAAAAACATTTAGAATTAAGAGCTTAATAGTATAAAGCAGTGTGTTTTATAAAGTATTCTAAAGTAATTTTCAACATTTCACATGAAAATACATTACTTATACACACTTAAAAGTTAGTTCTTTTATACTCTATAATACTTAAACCAGTCTTAAGTTTAAGAGCATTATAAATATCATTCTCAACAATGTCTTTTTTTTTTTTTGAGACAGGGTCTTACTGCAATTCAGGCTGGCCTTGAACTCACTGTGTAGCCCAGGTTGGCCTTGAAGTTACAACAATTATTCTGTCTCTGCCTCCCCAGTGCTAGGATCACAGATGTGCTGCCACCACAACCAGTAACAATTTAATCAATTTTTAACAGACTGTATCTTTTTTTTTAAGCAACACAGAAAAAAAGGATAGAAATCATACAGAATAATAGATTATACCTTTCATCCATTGTAAATGTAGTTCAGATTTCACATACAGGGATATCTCTGCTCTAAAATGTATATCAGTTTTTAAATATTTAACAGGATATTTATGTTCATGATCAGAGACAAGACATTAAAATATCCTTATTTTGTAGAATTTTTATTATACTGCTTCTTCATATGGACCAAAAAGAAAATTCCTTTCCATACAAAGTAAGATTAAACTACTGTCACTGAATTACTTAACTAATGACTTTGCCACATAGTTAACTAGTTTTTAGCTTGACTATTAATCTAAGAATCAAAGGCCCAAACTGGTTTCAATAATAAAGGGCAATTAGCCTTAAACTGTAATCCATAATTAACTTAAGATGGGTGGGTTTAATAAAAAACATGTTTAAACAATTTTAAACATTTTTAATAAATTTCATTATTGCTACTGTAAAGCTTTAACTATTGTAAGTATCAAAATGCCAGATAATAATCATGCCAGAAAGTGGCTTTAATATCCTTCTGGGGTGCTTCCTTCATGTTTCAACAGCTCCACCAAAGCTCTTGGGGTAAAACAAACAACTTTTTTCTTTTTCATATCTTCCCAAAATTTAGCAAAATAATTCTCTCTCTTATCTCAATTAGCAGCTTTATCCTTTTTTGTAAATTTCATAAAATTAACTTAAATATCATGTAAGCAAACATTAGATTTTTATTCAGAATATGCTCCTTTTTCAATCAAGGGTTTTATTTTATAAGAGCCTTACATTATGTGACCCCAATATTTTCATTTTTATATATTACTAATTAGGTTTATTCACACAACTTAGATATACATAATGATCACATTCATCATATGGAACTTGTACCCATACATGATATACCCCAAAATTTCAAACATTTAAACATATACAACCAATAAATTTTTACAATAAATAAACTGAGCTATATTCCACGTTAAATGTTGGAGATCTAGTCAACAAACATCAATTGAAGTTGAGGTTTGTACTTACATTTGTAATAGCTATAGCATTTTTGTCATAATACTTCTTCTTTTCATATTTATCTCTGATGAAAAATTCTACTGCTCTGAAAACAGGTAACTTAAGGAAAACCAAGGTTCAGTCACAAGTAAATTTCCCTTTATTCATTCTTCTCTATAAAGTCTACCCACTAAGCTTAGATTTCTTATTCTACAACTTGTGCTTCCTCTCACATTATTTCTGCAACTAAGTTCCACAACCTATTTTGTGTTCTCCCAAAGAAAGTCTATTTCTTGTAGAGAAATTTTCTATTGAACAAAAACTGCCAAACTCAATTTCACATAGAAAAACCACTTACTGCACCTCTAAACCCTCTACACCATTATGCTCCCTACAACCAAAGTCTAAATTCAATTCAGGTTTATTCTGCTAGACACTGTGTTACATATTGTATGTATTTTGTTGCCTTTATTTCCTCTCACAATCCAGTAATGTATACATATTACTACTTTCACATCACAACAAAGAATCAGCAGCCTGACAGGATTAAATGATTGTAATTTCAACATCAATGTTCTTTCCCACTATACATATACCAAATGTACACTTATCATAGAGGTTAAAATATCATATCTCTGCCAGAATTAAAGAATTAAAATATCATAGAGAATTCTTTCTCTGCATGCAAATTTAAAGAATAAGAAGAGAAGAAACTAAAATAAAAGTTTCTACTTATAAAAAGAAATTTTTCAGAAATTATCTAAGAAACAACCAACTTTTAAAAATTATACAAGGTCAAAGTTGAGACATACTGCTTTACAAGGATGTAAAACAAAGCATGTGGAGAGAAGATCTCACTATGACCTTCCTAATTATCAACAAAACATTTTTTAAAAGTCATCAAATCGCATCATAAAGTAAAGTTTCAAAATTCTAATGGAATCAAAGAAGGACTATGATTTAAGGAATACGGTGTCTGTCTAGATATCTCAGTTTCTATGTGCCTCTTAGAGCAAAAATGCCTCATACAATACTTATGTATCTTTGTACAAAATTCCAAATATAAACTAATTCTTCATTGTTAGTTTATCTCAAGAAGCACACTTTTCTTTCGGATTTAAAAACAGTAAAGATTTAGGTTTCGCCCGATAGTTGATGTACATTTTAACTATTTAACTCAGTGTCTGTGGCTCCAAAGACAAAGAAACTTTATGAAGAAATGAGCATAGCTGGGTTTTAATAACATCTCATTTATAAAAATAGGTAGCTAGCTCATGGGCCTACAGAAACTAACTCTTGAATTCTATTCCAAAGTTGAAAAGCAAAGAACAGCTAAAGTGGATTTATAGAGGAACTCTGTCTATAAATGATCACTACAGACAAGAGAGTTTTCAAAGGAAATTTTGACTATATTTTTGCATTGTATACTGATTTTAGTACCTACTTCCCAAAGAAGAAGGTCTATGATGTATGGCCTCGCATGTGGTACTAGCAGATACTTATTTAACAGGCAGTTAATTTTGAAATTAGCCAATCTGCTGAATCTATGCCTCGGTATGTAAAAGACAGCAATGTGCATCTCACAAAATTGTTGAGAGTTTTGGAAATAATTATAAAATATTTAGCATAACCCTTAACATAAAAAAGTATGCATTCATTGAATAAAGTTTTTTATTTTACATGACTTCATGTTTCAGTTTCATCAGCCTTAAAATGGGGCTGACATTCCTCTTACAAGATTATTTTAGGAATTAATCAACTTAATATATGTGAAGTATTAAATAAGAACATGCCTAGTGGTGGCACATACCTATAATCCCAGCACTCAAGAGGCTGAAGCAGGAGGAACATCATGAGTTCAACACCAGCCTGAGCTACATAGTGAGTCTAAAGTCAGCCTGAACTACATAATCAGATGCTGTCTCAAATATTAAATAAATAAATATTAAAAATACAAGCAGTATATTGCACAATGGTATTTCACTTAAATTTTAGTTTTTATTATTAATATAAAGATACTGCATTTTCACAGACAAATCTTTTAAAATATATAGCCCATGGTAGAAATAAATAGCAACTACTGCATTAAGAACAAAGGCCTTGCAAGCAGGCAGTCGTGAGTCTGATCCCTGCTACCGATAAAAACGAAAAAGACAAAAAAAAAAAAAGGACAAAGATAGCTTACATATATTTAAGTTTAGAACAGATGAGTAAATGAGGAAAATGCAGCAAAATAAGGAACAAATTTGAAGACCAGAAAAATAATCATCTTTATTTTCTAGTTGATGCCAGATGTCATTGAGACAAAAGATCAATAATAAAATCTTAAAAATTAGAAATAAAACAATGATATTTGAAGGAATCAAAGTAAACAATGCAGTAGTACTGTAAACAATAGTTCAAATTTAAGTGATGATCTGGAGCTTTTTAAACAAAATTCAAAATAGCCCAGAATCTTTTCCATGCCTATTATAAAGCATTGAGTAAGACGAGTAAGACCTCTAAATCTTCCTATCATAAACTCTAGAAATTTATACTAAACAAACTCAGAAAAATTTTACATGTTTTATCTTTTAACATGTATTTGCATTTTAAGATCTTCCCCTTTTCTTTAAAGATATCACTTGGAAGGCCAATTACTATTACCAATGAAAACAACACACAACACTGACAGCAGTAAAACTTTGAAAAGCTCAAAGGAGAAGAACTTCTGATTAGCTGTAATGTACAACAGATCTCATGGAACTTAAGTAATTAAAGTTTTTAAGTAAGATGAAATATCCTAATACTGAAAAGCTTAATGTACAGTTTTATCACTGTCATGTACTAGCACACATAGCCTATAATGAACCAGGTCCCACACGAAATATTATATTTTCATAACAGCTTTTGCCCAGTTTTATAAACTGTAAAGTTTCTTTTGTTGTTGTTTTTTAGGGTTTTTTTGTTTTGGGTTTTTTTGGTACCAGGGATCGAACCTACAACCTTGTGCTTGCCAGGCAGGCATTTACACCACTGAGCTAAATCCCTGGCATCTGTAAAGCTTTTTAAAAGCAACAAATCTTGTTAAGAATATAATGAGGCCTGATATTAAATAAATTTAACTCAGTTTAGTTTCATTTGCCTTTAGAGAGATTTATTAATATCTACAAAAGTACAGAGGTATCAGGCTCTTCAAAGAGGCAGGAGCTTTAGAGTAATGGATGGATGGATGGATGGATGGATGGATGGATAGAGAAGGCAAGTGGGTAAGCAGGCTGCCTGTTTTTCTTACCAGTCTCCAAAACATGTTTTATAGTTAGGAGGTGAAATAATAAAAGTGTTCTTATAATAGTGAAATCCTTTTTCGGGGAAAGGGATTGGGAAGAAGCTATGTAGCCCAGGCTGGCCTTGAACTCACAATCTTCTTGCCTCCACTTCCCCAGTGCTGAGATTACACACATGGTCTGCGACATCCAGTTTAGGATTTTTTTTTTTTTAAGTGAGGTATTAGGACATTGTCCAGGCTGGTCTCCAACTCTCAGGCTAAAGCAATTTCCTCACACAGTCTTCAAACTTAGGCTACAGATGAGCACCACCATGCCTATGTCTGACTGTCTCCCTCCATCTCTGCCCCTTTCCCTTACTTCTCAACCCTCTCTCCCTCTCCCCTGCTTTCTGAAAGGCTGTAGTACTACACTGGTTAGGGAATTAATCTCATGGCTCAAGTTTACATCTTACACGTTTAATTTGGCAGTCACCTATCTCAAATATGTTCAGATGAAGTCCCTCTTTTAACAGTTCCTAACAATCACTAGACTATCCTCTGGTGAATAAAAGATCAACATCTCATATAAATATGCTCATAATTTGTAAATGCTTTGGAAGAAGCAGTAGTTTGAAAAATCAAGTAAACATTCTTTTTTTTTTTTTGCCTTTTTCCTTTTTATCGGTACCGGGGATCGAACTCACGACTGCCTGCTTGCAAGGCAGGCGCTTATGCCGCTGAGCTAAACCTCCAGCCCCCAAGTAAACATTCTTAAGCTAACAATAGCAAATATACACATAATCCAAAAGCCTAATATAAAACGTATCTCATACTGAAAAGTTGCATTATCACATAAATCTTAAAAATCTAGCTATAAAGACTGCTGAACTACAAGGTTGTCTCCTTTTTATAGGCCATCAAGACTCATTAGGGCAAAACTAATTTTACTCAGACTATCATCTCAAATAGTATTCAATATTCAAGTTATACCCTTTGGGAATTCTTAATAGCTACTTAAACATTCAAACAGTCTACCCTGAGCCCTCCCAAATATATACTATGCTCTATCTCACTGAGTTATTTTGAGAATTAAAAATGATAATGTATATTTAATGCCGATCAAGCTAAGTGCTTGGCTAAGGGCAGTGGTAGCAAACCTGTGACACTCATGCCATGGACAGTTGTTTGTTATCATTGAAAGTTCAAAAACATCCTCCATCACTAGCTTAGGGCAACTATTATTTTAAAACAGCAAAGTACTGCAATTATTAATTATAACATCTTCACTGTATCAAAGATCAAGAATTTACTAATACCAGACATCAACGTACCAGTCTATTCTCTGAAATTATCTATGGCCCAAAACAACTGAAATAATAATGCACTATCTAACACTTTACTTCTCTGAATTTCATCAAAAAATTGAAATACTATACCTACCAACCTACACAAAATGGTGCATACAAGAGATTAACATACTGGGCTAATAGCAAGAGGCAGTATGGTAACCAATGTTGATAACCTTGTATTTTGTTTTATATTATGTATTATGTCCATTCTTTTGATTTGACTGACTCTGTTCTGCTCTGCTATGTCACATTTGGTTTTACTCTTTTCAAAAAAAAATAGTAAGAACTGTGAGAGTAATAAAACCCAAAATGTGTAATTGTCATTGTACAAAAGAGAGGAAAAGAAAGTGCTCTAAAGGATATAACTGCATGTATATTTAAGTGTATAAGATAAGATAACCATATTACTGAGTTTTGTTGGATCATTGAACAGAACTGTTTGCAGTTTCACTGTTTAAAAGTCCACTTTATACGCTTTAATTTTGTAACTTGAACAATGATTTCTAAGAT